AGGGACACCTCCCAGCAGCCCAGGCTGCTCCAAGCCCCATCCAACCTGCCCTTCACCTGTCCTAGGGAGGGGGCAGCCACAGCTTCCCTGGGCAACCTGGGCCAGGCTCTCCCCACCCTCACAGCACAGAATTTCTCCCTCCCATCTCAGCTCCAGCTCCCTCTGCCAGCTGGAAACCCTTCCCCCTGCTCCCATCCCTCCCTGCCCTTGTCCCAAGCCCCTCCCCAGCTTTCCTGGAGCCCCTTCAGGCACTGGAAGCTGCTCTCAGGTCTCCCTGGAGCCTTCTCTTCTCCAGGCTCAACACCCCAACTCTCCCAGCCTGTTTTCATAGCAGTGTACAGGTTTAATATGATTCCTCAAAACCCTCCTTTGCAAAGGCTGCCTGTCCTGGGGAGCAGCAAGAGAGTGAGCAGAACAACACAGGAACAACCTCTGGGAATGACAAGACCTCCAGGGTGGGGAGAGCCTGGCCCAGGTTGCCCAGGGAAGCTGTGGCTGCCCCATCCCTGGCAGTGTTGAAGGGCAGGTTGGATGGGGCTTGGAGCAGCCTGGGCTGCTGGGAGGTGTCCCTGCCCATGCAGGGGTGGGACTGGGTGACCTTGAAGTCCCTCCCAACCCAACCCAATCTCAGATTCTGTGATTCTGTGACTTAGCCCTGGCAGCCCCCAGGCCACCACAGCCAGCAGGAGCTGCACACACACAGATGTCCTGTGAGCTCAGAACCTTATAAACAGCTTCTCTGGAAAGGCCAAAATAGGCACTGCTTGGGTTTGTGCCCCAGCACCACTGCTGAGCAAACTCTTTGTCTTTGTGTAGGTCTTCAAAGCAACTGCCCAGTCTGTGGAACCTGTTATCACTGTCCAAATTTCCTACCTGGAGATCTACAATGAGACCATGTTTGACCTCCTGTCCTCTGTGGCCAGCCCTGGGGCTGGTGGCATCCAGCTGACTGTGGCAGATTGTCCAGGGGGTGTTTATGTCAAGGGCTTGTCTGTCCATCCCGTGAGCCACGAGGAGGATGCTCTGAGTCTGCTCTTTAAGGCAAGGGGAAACAAACATTGCACTGGGTGGCTTGGCTGAGGGGGCAGGCAGCAGAGCAGAAGGTGGGTGGGCAGGGGGGCTGGAGGGAGGTCCAACCCTCCTTGTCCTCTTTATTTTGGGTAGAAGAATTGGTGACACTTTGGAGCCAGTGTTCCTGCAGGGAAGTTGTCCCTGGCACAGAGATCCTGCCACATTTCCTTGGGGAAACCCTGTTTTTTTGTGCAGGCCAGAGCAAGTCTGTTCTGTTTCTTCCCAAGGCCTTAGATATGAGGAGGAAATTCCTTCCTGTCAGGGTGGGGAGACCCTGGCCCAGGCTGCCCAGGGAAGCTGTGGCTGCCCCATCCCTGGGGGTGTTGAAGGGCAGGTTGGATGGGGCTTGGAGCAGCCTGGGCTGCTGGGAGGTGTCCCTGCCCATGGCAGGGGATTGGATCTATATGATCTTTAAGGTCCCTCCCAACCCAAACCATCCTTGAATCTCCAACAGAAGAGGCAGCTCTGCCAGCCTGTGGGTGTTGCAGGAAGAATGAAGTTTGAACCCCTGATTATTTCCCTCTGAGAGTTTCTAATTTCCTTCCCTTCTCCCAGAGCACTTGAACACTGTTGAATTTTGCCTCCACCTGCAGGGTGAGACCAACAGGGTGGTAGCAGAGCACTCTCTGAACAGGAATTCCTCCAGGTCCCACTGCATCTTCACCATCTACCTTGAGGTAAGAGCTCCAGCAGGTTTCCTAGGGACTCAGATGGCTGAGAGTCTTCACTCTTAAGTCCAGCTTATGTTCTTTCCCCTGTCAGTCTCATTTCACAGGTTTCTCAGATGGCAAATGTATTAGTTCTAAAATCAACTTGATAGATCTGGCAGGATCTGAGAGGCTGAGCAAGACTGGAGTAAGTGATGGAAGAAATATTTCAGCCTGTGGTGAAGAGTCCAGTGATGAACAGGGTAGAGGTGGAGATCTGGGTTTTCCCCACAACTGAGTTCAGCCTGGGGTGAACAGGAGAGACTGGGACAAGTTGTAGGTGACATTCACACACCAGAGGATGCCCAGTTGCTCACAGCTCCTGTATGTCATTTTGCGGCCACATGGATGTGACTCCCATCCTGCAGGTGCCTCCCAACTTGACCCAGACTCAGTTCATTTGAGTCTATCATGGCTCAGAGATCCTCTGGTTTTCCTCTTCATTCCAGGAGTGACAAATGACCCAGTTCTGGTCATAGAATCGTGGAATTGTTCTGGTTGGGATAGACCTTTGAGATCCTCCAGTCCAACCACTCCCCCACCCCTGCCCCTTGTCCCTCAGCACCATCTCCAGGGCTTGGAAACCCTTCCAGGGATGGGGACTCCCCCCCTGCCCTGGGCAGCCTGGGCCAGGCCCTGACAACCCTTGGCAGGCAGGAATTGTTCCCCAGATCCAACCTCCACCTCCCCTGGCACAACTTGAGGCCGGTTCCTCTTGTCCCATCCCTTGTTCCTGGGGAGCAGAGCCCGACCCCCCTGGCTCCAACCTCCTCTCAGGCAGCTGCAGAGCCAGCAGGTCTCCCCTCAGCCTCCTTTGCTCCAGGCTGGACACCCCCAGCTCCCTCAGCTGCTCCTGCTCACACTTGTGCTCCAGCCCCTTCCCCAGCTCCCTTGCCCTTCTCTGGACACGCTCCAGCCCCTCCATGTCCTCCTTGTCCTGAGGGGCCCAGACCTGAGCCCAGCATTCCAGGTGCCCCCTCCCCAGTCTCAGCAGACAAACTATTGCAGCCTGAGGGTTCAACCCTGAAAGCTCTTCAGGTTCCATGTGACATTGGGTATCAGTCAGAGTGGAAATGACATCAGACATGGGAGAAATCCACCATTAGCCCTTTGGGGAGGAAAGCCAGCAGTCCTGGTACACTCATAATGTAGAACAGAGGTCTCTGACAAGCTGGTTTCCAACTACAGAAACCTCTGGATGATGAATTCCTTGGCTCTGAGTTCACTCCTCTCAGCCAGGAGCCCTTGTATCCTCCATAAGGAACAGGTTCTTCCCATGGTTCAGCCAGAGACAGGTCCTGTGTCAGCTTCTTGCTTCTTGATCTCCCCTTGCAGTCTGAAGGACAATTGCTGAAGGAGGCCACCTACATCAACAAGTCTCTGTCGTTCCTGGAGCAGATCATCATTGCCCTGGGTGACCCCAAGAGGGAGCACATCCCCTACAGGCAGAGCAAACTCACCCACGTCCTGAAGGATGCACTAGGTAAGAGCTGGGGGGTCACTGCAGCCCCCCAGGCTTCCTGGAAATCAGCCTTGTCCCCACCAGCACCTGGAACTGATTTGTTGCTCAAAGGAGGCCTGGTTTTCCTTCTCAAATAGACCAGCAGAGACAGCACGAGTGATCAGGCCAAAACCTTTGTAGCCAGAGAACAAAGGGAGATGGAATAAAACTGGAAGAGGGGAGATTGAGGTTGGACATGAGGAGGAAATTCTGTGCTGTGAGGGTGGGGAGAGCCTGGCCCAGGTTGCCCAGGGAAGCTGTGGCTGCCCCATCCCTGGGGGTGTTGAAGGGCAGGTTGGATGGGGCTTGGAGCAGCCTGGGCTGCTGGGAGGTGTCCCTGCCCATGCAGGGATGGTACTGGATGACCTTGAAAGGTCCCTTCCCACCCAAGCCAGTCTGGAGTTCAATGATTCCATGACCAAAACTGCCACCAGCCCCCTCTCAGCACGTTTACAAGCCTTTTCAGGTGCTCCTACTTTAGCATCAGCCTAGAGATGATAAATCCAAAACTGGGGTGCATCCTGAATCCACAGGATGGGCTTTATCCCCTGGGAACACAGGCTGGAGGCATGGGAGGAGGAAGCAGCTGAGAACAGGCTGGAGAGATTTGTGTGGAGTGACTAAAGTCATGGGGACTGTGAGTGGTGCCTGAGGCCTTGGGGTGACCCTGGGAGAGACAGAGACTGTGTCCTGCCAGCTTTGTGGAATCCCAGCCTGTTTTGGGTGGGAAGGCACCTTTCAAGTTTATCCAGTCCCACCCCTGCATGGGCAGGGACACCTCCCAGCAGCCCAGGCTGCTCCAAGCCCCATCCAACCTGCCCTTCAACACCCCCAGGGATGGGGCAGCCACAGCTTCCCTGGGCAACCTGGGCCAGGCTCTCCCCACCCTCACAGCCCAGAATTTCTCCCTCCCATCTCAGCTCCAGCTCCCTCTGCCAGCTGGAAACCCTTCCCCCTGCTCCCATCCCTCCCTGCCCTTGTCCCAAGCCCCTCCCCAGCTTTCCTGGAGCCCCTTCAGGCACTGGAAGCTGCTCTCAGGTCTCCCTGGAGCCTTCTCTTCTCCAGGCTGAACACCCCAACTCTCCCAGCCTGGCTGCAGAGCAGAGCTGCTCCAGCCCTCCCAGCATCTCCAAGGCCTCCTCTGGACTCTCTCCAGGAGCTCTGTGTTCCCCTCTCTTAGATTCAGGCCAAGGGCTTTTAAAATCCTCAGCTCCAGTTTTCCTGGTCTCAGCATTTCACACTTTTCATTCCCATTTTTTTTCCTGAACTGTTGCCACATGAGAAACACCTTTTTCCTTCATTCCTTAGCCCTCCTGTGCCCATGAGAACTTGAGAGGGACAGTTGCACCCTGGCTGTGGGCTTGGTTGCTTCTTTAGTCACCACATTCAAAACATCTAAACAAGGAAAAAAAAACAACAGGAAAAAACACCTGGGTGTTAAGTTATATTATTTTTCTGTTTGGTTTTGATTTTTTCCCAGGAGGAACCTGCAATACTGTCCTGGTGGCAAATATCTGTGGGGAAGCTGAGCATGTGGAAGAGACTGTAAGTTGATTTCTGCAGAATTTGTTCCTCCTCCTGCTGCATTTGGCCATAGCTGGGGGTTTGAGGAAGAGTCTCTGGGGGGTGATGGCAGGAGTCCCAGTGAAACATCCTGCCCAGTTCCTCACAAAAATTGGGGAGCTCATCTAATTTCTAAGGCTCAGAAAACAGATTTCATAGAATCATAGGATGGTTTGGGTTGGAAGGGACCTGAAAGACCAGCCAGTCCCACCCCTGCATGGGCAGGGACACCTCCCAGCAGCCCAGGCTGCTCTAAGCCCCATCCAACCTGCCCTTCAACACCCCCAGGGATGGGGCAGCCACAGCTTCCCTGGGCAACCTGGGCCAGGCTCTCCCCACCCTCATGAGGAAGTATTTCTTCCTGATGTCTGACCTAAATCTCCCCTCTTTCAGTTTAAAACCATTGTGATTTGTCCTGTCACTGCCCTCTCTGCTAAAAAGCCCCTCCCCAGCTTTTCTGGAGCCCCTTCAGGCACTGGAAGGTGCTCTAAGGTCTCCCTGGAGCCTTCTCCTCTCCAGGCTGAACACCCCAACTCTCCCAGCCTGGCTCCAGAGCAGAGCTGCTCCAGCCCTGGGATCATCTCTGTGGCCTCCTCTGGCCCCTCTCCAAAAGCTCCATGTCTCTTCTGTGCTGAGGGCTCCAGAGCTGGACATTGTGCTCCAGGTGGGGTCTCACCAGAGCAGATCTCTCCCTCATCTGCTTTGTGATCCAAAGAGAGGAGTTACTGGCCTGGGGAGGGAGGGAAGAGAGCTTGGAATTGAGCAGCTGAGCCCTGAGGACATTGGTTCTTGTCAGTTATTATTGTTGGTCCAGCTCTGTGAAGGTGTTTGGTGGCACATCATGGGATGGGGTGGGTGGGATGGCACCAGTTTGTGTCAGAGCTCAGCTGGGCTTCAGCTGGGCCAGGAATCAGGAAAAACCTCCCACCAGTGAGGCTTTTAACCTGTGAAATGATGAAACTGGTGGAAAGTCTCACTGGGTGAACTGGGTCAGTGTAACCACGTCTGTGACAGGGAAGGGGGGCACTTTGCTCCTTGCCAAGGAAGTTTGATAAAGAAAAGAAACCAACCAAGCAAGCAGAGACAAGTAGATGTTGTGGAGTTGTCTTCAAGCAGAGTTGGTTTTATCATCTCTTGAGGAAAGAGCTGCTGTGATTTGCATCCAGAGGGGGATTTTCAGGCTGCAGGGGCTTGCTCTGGATTACCCCCATTGCAGGAATGGAGCTCAGGGGCCACTGGTGTGTGGTTTGGAGTTTTTAGGCTGTGTTGTTTTGGTCAGAAGTGGGAATGGGTGGTGAGCTCATGGCTCTGCTACACCAGGAGCTGTCCACAGGCAGGAGAGGCAAAGCCATGAAAAATACACTCCTGGGATGAGAAATCCTCTGCTGCTCCTTGCAGTTAAAGAGCTTCTGTGTTTCTGTGCTCTGGGGTCTGAGGTGATGGAGTAGGAACCACGATGAAGATGTTACCCTCACCAGTGTCTCCTTCAGTTACTGAAACCCCATGTTTTTCAGTTGTCTTCTCTTCGTTTTGCTACCAGAATGAAAGGGATCAACTCAGAGCCACTCATCAGGGAGAGCTACAGCCAAGAGGTATGTGGGGAAGGGGGATGGGGAAGGGAGGTTCTCAAGGTCATTGCTACAGGGGCCTTCCAGGGCCTGAAGGGGCTCCAGGAATGCTGGGGAGGGGCTGTTTACAGAGGCTTGTAGTGAGAGGACAAGGTGGGATGGATTAAAAGTGGAAGAGGAGACTGAGATGAGATACTGAGAAGAAATTCTGTGCTGTGAGGGTGGGGAGAGCCTGGCCCAGGTTGCCCAGGGAAGCTGTGGCTGCCCCATCCCTGGCAGTGTTGAAGGGCAGGTTGGATGGGGCTTGGAGCAGCCTGGGCTGGTGGGAGGTGTCCCTGCCCATGCAGGGATGGGACTGGATGAGCTTTAAGGTCCCTTCCAACCCAAACCAGTCTGGGATTCCACATTTAGGATAATGACCTTAAAGACCAGAGGGAAATTCAGCAGTGTCATGACTCACCACTCATCAGCCAAGCTGACTGAATTCAGGTAGATGACACCATGGGTTAGTATCAAAGTTTCCTCCAGCAGCTGCCAGAAGAAGCTGGGCAAAGTCTTTTCCTCTCCAGCCCCTTTCATTGTTGTTGAGATGTGGGGAGTAGGGAGGAGCAGCCAAAATAGTGGTGCTGAAGGACCTTTGCTTTGATGCCCAACTTCCAACCAGCTCAGTGTCCAGTTCTCCCTGAATCCCAAGGAGATTTGTGCACCCACCTGTCTGCACACACATTATCAATAGTGAGTGCTGGAAGGTACTCCATGTTATGGAGAAATTCCATCAAATGCACCTCAGGAGACTCCCTCCTCTACTGAAGGTACTGTCAGAACCTCTGCTGAGTTCAGTGAGGCTCAGGTTGGATGGGGCTCTGAGCAACCTGGTCTAGTGGGAGGTGTCCCTGCTTGTGCAGAGAGGTTGGAACAAGATGATCTTTAAGGTCCCTTCCAACCCAAACCAGTCTGTGACCTTCCTGGCTTTCAAAATCACATCACCCAGAACTTGGCCCCTGCAGAAACAGGTCAGGAAGGTATCCCAGGAAACCAGGTGGCCCTTGTTGTGGTGGCTTGGGCTGGCTCTGCACCCAGGACACAGGAGGAGCTGCCCTGTTGGGAGCCAACAACGTGTCCTCCCAGCCCAGGGAACCAATGGCCTCTTGGGGGGCAGCAAGAAGAGTATGGGCAGCAGGTCAGAGAGGTTCTCCTTCCCCTCTGCTCTGCCCTGGTGGGGACATATCTGGAGAACTGGGTCCAGTTCTAGGTTCCCTAGTTCCAGAAGGACGAGGAGCTACTGGAGAGAGTCCAGCACAGGGCACTGAGATGCTGAAGGGGCTGGAGCTTCTGCCTGTGAGGAAGGGCTGGGAGAGCTGGGGCTGTTCAGAGGAGACTGAGGGGGGATCTTATCAGTGCTTACAAATATCTCCGAGGGGTGTCAGGAGGGTGGGCCAGACTCTTCCCAGTGGTGCCCAGTGAGAGGACAAGGGGCAATGGGCACAAGCTGGAGCACAGGAGGTTCAACCTGAACATGAGAAAATACTTTTTGTCTCTGAGGGTGGCAGAGCCCTGGGACAGGCTGCCCAGGGAGGGGATGGAGTCTCCATCCCTGGAGACATTCCAAGCCCACCTGGACATGTTCCTGTGGGATCTGCTGGAGGTGACCCTGCTCTGGCAGGGGGTTTGGATCAGATGATCTCCAAAGGTCCCTGCCAACCCCACCACTCTGTGACTGTGAATGTAACCAAAGGCCACACGATTTCCAGCCTCATGACCTCCTGCTGCAAACCTGGCAGCAACCCTGGGGGAGCTGCTGCAGCTGCCAGGGGCTCCAGCACCTCAGGGCTGCTTCTCAGCAGGTTCCTTCTCCAATAATGTTTGAACCTTTTCTTTTTTCCTGCTAGGGAACAGTGAAGGCCATGGAGAAGGAGATTCTTCTGCTGAAACAGGAGCTGGCTGTGCATGACAGCTTGGTAAGGAACAGGCTGCACCTTTGATGGGACCTTGCTGAAGGTTTCTCCTGATCTTTGCTTTGCAGTCAACTCAGTGTCCAGTGGGATTGCATTCTTCTTTCTGCTTCCAGCTCTGTCTTTGGGGGTTGAGGGAAAGGTCTGCAGATCCTGTGCTGAGGTTGGGTTGTAGCTTCAGTCCCCAAGCACTGGATGCTTTTCCAGACTCTTAGATATTTCTGGTTTGATTGAACTGTGAAGGGGAATGTGTTGTGTTCAGGGTGTTTCCAAATCCTGTGTCCTGTTGATGTCCAGCCTGGAGCAAAGGAGGCTGAGGGGAGACCTGCTGGCTCTGCAGCTGCCTGAGAGGAGGTTGGAGCCAGGGGGGTCGGGCTCTGCTCCCCAGGAACAAGGGATGGGACAAGAGGAACCGGCCTCAAGTTGTGCCAGGGGAGGTGGAGGTTGGATCTGGGGAACAATTCCTGCCTGGCAAGGGTTGTCAGGGCCTGGCCCAGGCTGCCCAGGGCAGGGGGGGAGTCCCCATCCCTGGAGGGGTTTCCAAGCCCTGGAGATGGTGCTGAGGGACATGGGGCAGGGCTGGCCTGGGCAGGGCTGGGGGAAGGGTTGGACTCCATGATCTTGAAGGTCTTTCCCAACCCAAACAATTCCTTGATTCTCTGACTCAGATACTGAGAAATCACAACCAGAAATCAAAGATGGATCTCCCCTGAGCTTTGGTGGTGTTTCTCCAGCCTAGAACTTGCTGCCCTTTTCCTCATTCACTGCTACTGAGCTGTTCCCCCTCTTTCTCCAGGCCAATCGCTCCTGGGTGACCCACACCCCCCTGCCTGCCCCCCAGGTTGCAGAGATCAGGTCTCAAGTCCAGAAATACCTCGATGGAGACATTGATGAGATTGATGTAAGTAGCTCCCTGGTGGAGAAGGACTTAAATACCAATCCCCTCCTATTTTACTCCAAGACAGGAGCAATGAAACTTTGTTTGACCCCAGTTAATTGTATTTTTTTTTAAGATTCTTTGACTTTTTTTGGGGTGTTAGGGACTGTCTCCTTGTTTTCATTCCATAGCTGCTTTTTTGGAAGCTTAAGGGAACTTCTCTGTCTTGAAGCCCTTGGAATTGTTTCCTTTGGAACTTGTTTAAGAATTGGTACCAACATTTTGGCCTTGCCAGTGTCCAGCTGAACCCTGGCAAGGTGTCCTGCCAGAACATGTCCAGCCTTTCAGAGCCAGGCTCCTCAGGGTGGAGTTTCTCCACTGGGAAGTCCCCCTTGACTGCACAATGATTGGGAAAAGGAAGAGCACAAGTCCTGTGTATGCAGATGATCCTGGGGGGACACACCACACACACAGGAAAACAAAGCAAATGGATGAAAATGGTCCTAAGATGGACATTTGGAGTCATTGGGAGGTTATGTTGGGCTGTGAACAGCAGCTTCTGTGCCAGCAGTGGGGAAGGTGCTGGGTGGATGTTTTCCAAACAGTGGGATAACCTTCTAGTTTAAACCAAACACTGGAGACACTCCCTCTCATCTCACCTGCCCTCCAAGGCCCTGTTTGCTACTTCTGACAGGCAGGGCTGGAGTGGAAAAAGGGCTTATGGGGAGGAGTCTTGTAACCTGGGCTGCCCCATGGGATGTAGGGCTGGATCATGGGACAGGGCTGGAGCAGCTCTGCTCTGGAGCCAGGCTGGGAGAGTTGGGGTGTTCAGCCTGGAGAAGAGAAGGCTCCAGGGAGACCTGAGAGCAGCTTCCAGTGCCTGAAGGGGCTCCAGGAAAGCTGGGGAGGGGCTTGGGACAAGGGCAGGGAGGGATGGGAGCAGGGGGAAGGGTTTCCAGCTGGCAGAGGGAGCTGGAGCTGAGATGGGAGGGAGAAATTCTGTGCTGTGAGGGTGGGGAGAGCCTGGCCCAGGTTGCCCAGGGAAGCTGTGGCTGCCCCATCCCTGGGGGTGTTGAAGGGCAGGTTGGATGGGGCTTGGAGCAGCCTGGGCTGCTGGGAGGTGTCCCTGCCCATG